TTGAAGGCCTTCCTCTTTTCGCTGCCCCTCTACTTTACCAAGCATGACGTCTTTCTCCAGGGACAGGTCTTTCCTAACAACTTATCAAGAGAGGTTGGCAGACTTGCCATCCTGGCCTCGAAGGAGCATCCTGGCCGTACTTACTCCAAGACAGATCTGTTTGTTCCTTTGGCAGCCCATGATACTTTCAATAGTCTTCACCAGCACCACAACTCAAACGCTTCGGTCCTCCTTCGGTCTTCCTAGTCAACGTCCAACATGTACGCGAGGCAACTGAAAATACCATGGCTAGGCTCAGGGACACCTGAGTCCTCTCAAAGTAATCGTGCTTTTCAACATTTTAAAGAGTCTTCTGCAGCAGATTTATTTACCAGCGCAGTATGTCGTGTGCACTCTTGTCTGTAGATTTGTTTGTCAAAAGGAAAAAGATACGCCTAGATTATGTTTTTTCTGTATTATATTCCACCAAAATAGGTAATTACATACACATCCACACACAATAAAGTTAAAATTTTTAAAAAGAGAGAAAGATTCTTCCTTCCCAAGAGTCCTTACCCATCAGATCTAAGCACTGGTCAGAGAGGCTGTAAAAGGAGGAAAAGTAAAGTGGAAATGAATTTGGATTCTTTTGTGACACACGTTCATTTACGAAGTGTAGGTGTAGGGATGGAATGAGTGGTATAAGATGTGTGTACATAAAAATAACAAAACATAATATTTAAGGGCTCATAGGGGTGGCAGGCCGAGTGAGAGATGGGGAAAAAAGAGGAGCTGAGATGAAAGGACTCAAAAAGAAAGACAATGATTTGAAATTGGGATGCCAACATTTGTACATGTCCACTTGATAAAATGGATGTATGGATTGTTCTAATATATGTAAGAGCCCCCAATAAAATGATTTATTAAAATAAAATACAGGAAACACCTATATGAAGCACCAAAAAAAAAGGAAAAAGATATGGCTAATTCTATACTGCTGAAAGGCTAACAATGTCCCAGCAAAAGACTAAGGACCGAGCACAAAGAACTCCTAAATATGCAAAGCCCTCTAGCTATAAAAAACTCTATAACATCAGTGGCTTAAAAAATAACAAGGGTTTCTATAGCTCAAAAAAAAAAAGATGATCTTTCTGATGTAGGCTTTGTAGGGACCTTGGATGTCTTCAGACTTTCCCACAGTCACATTTACAGCATTTTCCAGAAGGAATTGTTCTCCTTGTTTGACCAAGTGTTGATGTAAATGTGACTGAAAATCAGACAGTAGACAAATATATTCCCCAAGCTTTAAAATATTACTGTTTAGGGTATGAGGTCCAGAGGCACACAATAAAGAACTACTGATTGACTGAAAAGGAAACTGATAATAAATAAAGAGCTAGAACAGTTTATCACAAGATCAATTCGTTACTGCTGTTAGCTGCTGCGGTTCCTAACTGCCATCTCTGATTGACAGCCAGCCTTTGCACAATGACCTGGCCCACTCCTATGCCATCCAATGGCTGGGCTGCAGACAGGATCCTTCTGATCCAGGTGGCTTTCTCTGGCTGATTCTCAGAAGAAGATCCCCAGGTCTTCCTGCAGAGTCCGTTTTAGTCTAGCAGCGCTGCTGAAACCTATTCAGGACCATAAAAGCATGCAGGCCTCTGCTGACAGACAACTGGGAGCTGCAGGCCAGGAAAGAAACCCAGGTCTCCCGCATGAGAAGAGAATTCCACCACAGAACCACCAGAGCCCATAAAATACACTTAAACAGAGATTTCCAAGAGGTAATCTGTTATAAAATTTTAATTTGTATAGTCATAGTTCCATGATCCCACATAGACTTACCTCTCATTAATTTTGACACCGATCTTCTCCAAGCCTAGTTTTCTTGTACATGACTCACGGCCAATTGCTAATAAAACCTGTATTTACAGAGATCAAAAACAAACTATCATTAGGAATGAGAGAGAGAGAGCACAGTTCCTACAGGCATTAAAGGGATACTGACAAAGGATCACAAATCATGTATTCTAAGTAATTTAATATTTAAAATGAAATAGATGAATTTGTGAAAGACACAACTTACCATTGTACACAGACGCAAAATCTATGTAACTCCACATCCATTAAAGAAACTCTAATTACAATTTGCAGTCCCTGGGAGCACAAACCGTTAACTCATTTGGCAACTAGCTGAAAGTTGGTCAGTGTGAGTCTACT